AAGACGGCTACATTAGATTTTCAGTGCAGATGAAACAGCCTTCTATTAGAAGATGCCATCTAGGACTTTCACAGCTAGAGAGAAGTCAATGTCTAGCTTGAAAGGGCAGTTGACTCTCTTCTTGGGGTTAATGCAGCTGGTGACTTTAAGTTGAAGTCAATGTCCACTTATCATTCTAAAAATCCTAGGGCCCTTAAGAATTATGCTAAATCTACTCTGTCTGTGCTCTAGAAATGGAACAGCAAAGCCTGGATGCCAGTACATCTGTTTACAGCATGGCTTACTGAATGCCCACCTTAAAGAACAACTGCTCAGAAAAAAAATTATTCAATATTACTGCTCATTCTTTATTGACAATGCACCTGGTCATTCAACAGCTTTGATGAATGTGTACAATGAGATTAATGCTGTTTTCAAGACTATTAACACAACACCCATTCTGCAGCTCATGGATAGAGTAATTTCAACTTTCAAGTCTCATTATTTGAGAAGTACATTTTGTAAAGCTGTAGCTACCATACAAAGATTCCTCTGATAGATCTGGGCAAAGTAAATTGAAAACCTTCTAGAAAGGATTCACCATTCTAGATGCCATTAAGAACATTTGCAATTTATTGGTAGAGGTCAAAATAGCAACATTAATAGGAGTTTGGAAGAAGTTGATTCCAAACCTCACAGATGATTTGGAAGGGTTCAAGACTTCAGTGGAGGAAGTAACTGCAGATGTGGTGGAAACAGCCAAGAGAACTAGAATTAGAAATGGAAACCGGGCTAGCATGGTGGCTCACACCTGTAATCCTAGTACTTTGGGAGGCTGAGCCAGGAGGATCACTTGCGGCCAGGAGTTTGAAACCAGCCAGAATACAAGCAAAACCCATCTCTACAAACAAAATAGAAAAATAAGCTGGGCATGGTGGTGTATGCCTGTAGTCCCAGCTCATAAGGCTGAGGCAAGAGGAATGCTGGAGCCCAAGAGTTTGAGGTTGCAGTGAGCTATGATGATGCCACTACACTCTAGCCTGGGTGACAGAGCAAGACCCTGTCTCAAAAAAAAAAAAAGTGTAGACTGAAGATGTGAGCAGCTGCCACAATTTCATGATAAAACTTGAACAGAGGAAGAGCTGCTTTTTATGGAGTAAGGAAAGTAGCTTCTTGAGATGGAATATACTCTTGGCAAAGATGCTGCGAACACTGTTGAAATGACAGAAAAGGATTTAGAATGTTACATAACCTTAGTTGATAAAACAGTGGCAGGGCTTGAGAGAATTGATTTCAATTTTGAAAGTAGTTCAACTGTGGAGGGAAATGCTATCAAACAGCACTGCACACTACAGAGAAATCTTTCATAAAAAGAAGAGTCAATTGATGTGTAGAGAGCAAATATTTTTTCCCATTCTGTGGGCTGTCTATTCACCCTAATGATAGTTTCCTTGGCAGTGCAGAAGCTTTTAATTTGATTAGATCCCACTTATTTATTTTTGTTGCTGCGGCGATTGCTTTGGGGTTCTTCTTCAAGAATTCCTTACCTAGGCCGAGGTCTGAAAAATGCTCAACATCTCTAATCATTAGAGAAATGCAAATCAAAACCACAATGAGGTATCACCTAACCCCGGTGAGACTGGCCTCTATCAAAAAAAACACAAAACAGGCCGGGCG